GCCACACCTCTGTCCCCGCCCGTCACGGCAGCCAGGGCGCACAACGCCGGACCTGCGGCTCGGCCAGGGGGCTCAGCCGGGACTTGCCCCCGTTGCTAGAGAATTTCTCCAGCCTCCAGTTTGTGTCCTTGGTCTCTGCTCTGAAGAAGCGGGAGCCACGCAACTCGCCGGGATGAACTCTGCAGCGCTTGGGCACACGCTGGCACTGACGTAGGGTGACAAGTTCCGTTAATGGGCAGACGGCCCTGGCAAAGGGCCCAGAGGGTCAGCCACGGGGAGCTGTGCAGAGTCAAAGGGGTGACAGACAAGGCGAGCAGCCTGAACTGGCTGGGACAGGTTTGGGGCAGCTGAGGACGAGGCGCCGTGGGTCAGAAGAGGGCGCTGACAGGCAGACGGGAGGCGGCGAGGAGACGGATGAAGAGCTGGGAGCCGTGGGAGAAGAGCTGCTGGGAGGGAGCTAGAGGAATGGCCGGCCGCTGGGGAGGCGAGAGGGGAGAGCGAGGAGAAATTCTGCAGCAAGGTGAGCAAAGTGGCCGAGCGCGAGTGAACCGAGCGGCGCAAAGGAGCTGGCGGAGAGGGAATCTGCAACCGGAACGGCTGCTGCCAAGTTGTGAAGAGACAGCGGCAGCGGATTTAGCTCTGTTGGAAGTATCGCTGAACTATTGTACAGGGTAGTGTTGTGTGAGCGCGCACGTGCACACCCGCCAATCACAGACTCACAGAATCCTAGACGTGGAGGGGATCTCGCGAGGTCATCAAGTTCCATCCCCTGCCCTCGCGGCAGGACCCAACACCGTCTGACTATCCCTGCCCAGTGTCTGTCTCACCTGCACTTAAATATCTCCAGGGATGGAGACTCCACAACCCCCTTAGGCAATTTATCCCAGTGTTTCACCACCCTGACAAGCAGGAAGTTTTTCCTAATGTCCAACCTAAACCTCCCTTGCTGCAGTTTAAGCCCGTTGCTGCTTGTTCTACCATCAGAGGCCAAGGGGAACAATTTTTCTCCCTCCTCCTTGTGGAGGGGTGAAGAGGCTGCCAGCTGAGGGAGAGAGAATATGCACGCGTGAGAACCGTGCCCGAGGGGCTGGGGAGTGGCACTGGCTGGTTCGGAAGGAGCAGCAGCCTCAGACCGTTATGGGGCAGCCCGTGATGAAAGGGATGAGCAGCAGGGAGTGGGGGAGGACTAGCTCTGGGATGGAGAGGAACCAGCCCATAGCCCCGCCTAAGCAGCCAATGCACCATCCGCGTGAGGGACTCGCAGCAGCTGTATCTGGCAGGGGGTAAGAGGAACGTCTCCACTAAAATGCCAGAATTCCCCGATGTGGGGCTGGATTCTGCAGAGCCTCAGATGGCAGGACCACGCCGAGACGCCTGCCCTTGCCCAGTTCTATTCCCTGGCTCGTGGTTTCGTGAATCCCCCCATGGCTCTGCGCTGTCAAAGGTGCTGAGCGAGAAGGAGCCAGCAGCTAGTGGAGGCTAACGCTTGGGCTGGAAAGGAAAAGCAGCGGCGGGGGAGGATTCGGAGCCACAGAGAAGAGCAAAGGCCTTTGTGTATATTCTACGCGCACAATGGAAACATGCATGGGCAGCTTAGGAAGGGGGGGGAAGTCCCCAATGCAGATGAGCTGCACGCTCCATCCATTCCGCAATTGCCAGGCAACCATTGCCGAGACCTGGGAAAAATCCCGACGGGATTCGAATTGTATTCAGAAGCCGGAGGGGAAGAAGAGCAGGTGTGAAGAGAGAGACCCTCTGTGAAGGTTTAGCTTTAGAAAGAGCTCTCCAGGTAGCCAGGGCAGCAGAAACTATGAAAGCACAGGTGTCACATTACCGAATTGGAGGGAAGCAGCCAGATCGCTGCTGCACCCCTACATGGGGGTGTTGGCCCCAGAAATTGGTATAAGAGGGAGCCATGTGGGGTATTGAATGGGCGCTTATTGTTTGCTGATCCTATGTACGCTATTTATGTGAGTGTATAATGTTTGTGTGTGTAGGTAGGAATCTGTAATCTGTGTGGAAGCTGAATATTTCTCTGAATGTGGTTAAGCATTGCTATGGACAGGCTGATTAGCCAGGCCCTGTGGGACAATGGCACTTGATGGGCCAAGGACACACCCAAAGAACGGGGCTGTCACCTGAGAGCAGCCAGCAGGAAACACAGAGATTGGCCTCTGTCCAGGTGACCTGCTGCATACAAGAAGAGGCCAGGAAGGAGGTATAAAGAGGCCATGTGGTCGATGCCATTTTGTTTTCAGCTCAGCACTTCATCCCAGAGGCAGCATTGCAGGGATCGAAGAGCCCGGAAGACCTGTGAACCCGTCCTGATGCTAGGATGTGAAACAAGAACTTTTAAACCAGCAGCTGTAACATCTCTGCTAGAGCCTGCATCGAGGACTGGGAGATTCGGTGCATGTAACGTACTATTCTTTAACAACCTTACTCTCAGGCTTTTCTTTATTGTAATAATAAACCTTTAGATATAGATTTTAAAGGATTGGCCCAGCGTGATTTTTGGGTAAGGTCCAGAGGGTAAATTGACCAGGGATCTGTGCCTGGTTTCCTGGAACCGGACAGGACTTGTTCGGGGTAGGTGGGATTGGGTGCTAGGACCCCCCACCTGTGTATAGGCCCGGGGCCATCTGGGGCACGGATATTGCTGGGATGTCCGAGGGGTTGTGCTCGGGAGGCTTCAGGCAGGCAGCTGAAGCGCTCTGTGGGACTGGTGTGTGGCCTGTTTGGAGAGGTCACCAGTCTGGGGGCTGTAAGGAGCCCCGGATTTGAGCAATTTGCCCTGAGCGGACGCCCTCAGTTGTGCCCAGACATGGCCCGGTCCGTCACAACAGGCCAAAGAACTCAATCCACCAGAAGGGACCACCCACGTAGTACGTACACAAGAATATCGGGGGGACAGTTTCTGTGGAAGGGGTGGCTCACAGCACGGTCCTAAATGAGTCTGGCCTTTGGGAAACTCTGCCATAAATGGGGGGGAAGGGGGAGAACCATTTTGCACAACGCTGCATGCCTTGAAAACAACTCAGCAGAGAGGTTTTACCCAAAAGCACTGGGCTCCAGCAAACCTGATGAGAGAGACTGGATATGTCCCAGGGAAGGGAATGAAACAATTATTCCACTGAAACTGCCCACAGGAACTTGGATCAATATCCTTTCCCAACACGATTGTGAGGGACTGAAGATGAGACTGGAACGGGGTCCAGCAAACAAGAATGAACTGGTTATTCTGGAAGAAATATACCAGTGAAGGGAAGTGCATACACAAACAGTGTGTACAAAGTCCTGTCCATTGGAGCGACACCAGCTTTCGGCCTGGCTGTGTGTGAATATCTCCGCCTTGTAAAACAGGTGGGGCTTTCGCTACAACTGGCCATACTGAACCTGGCTATGAGACGCTCCTTCAGGAAGATCCCGATCTGTTTCAAGGGCTGGATTGCTTGCAGGGTGCACACACAATCCAGACACAAGCAGATTCCTCCAGCTACCCATCCCTGGAGAGCAGTGCCTTTTGCACTCCGTGATAACCTCAAGCATGAGAGCAATGCAAGCAAGACCAAAAAATGGAGGAGCCAACGGCACACAGGAGTGCCCTGGTGAATATGCAGAAAAATAACGGCCAGCCACACTCATTCCAAGACCAGCGAGACTTCAGCAAGGTGATAAAAAGAGCATTCCAAACCTCCAACCAGAGAAGAGATTACGGCTCCGTTTGCAAACGCGCAACCTTTCAGCATGCTGGATGCTGCCACTGGATTTGGGCAGCTAAAATTAACTAAAGGAAGATCAAAGCTATACATATTTAATTCGCCATTTGAAAGGTACACATTCTTACTCCTGCCCTTCGGCATAGCCTCCGTGCGAGACGTGTACCACACAGCCATACATCTGTTCTACCAACATATTCATGCTCTCAGCAGCTCAGGGGATATTTATTAAGACTCTAAGGTGCCACAGGATCGCTCGCTGTTTTTGAAGTTACAGACTAACACAGCTACTCCCTGAGACTTTCCCTTGGATAATTCATGACTTATCTAGCTACAAAAGGTGCAGCTTTGAGGAAACTCCTGGGAAATAAAAATGAGTGCAGGAATCCTGGGAAGGATGGAAACAACTGATATGAGCACCAGCGCTGACGTTCTACACACCACCCAGGCGTCTTACAATTTCAGTGGCCGCCTCGCAATCTGGGCTCGGCGCAGGGATGTTACAGAAGTGTGACGGCCAGCAACCAGCGGCGTACAGATCCAGATCGCTGACGGACGTGGAAACCAGATGTGCACAGACTGAGAAGCAGCTTCCAGGAATGCGATTTGCCTGCGAGAGATTCAGTCAAGGTATTCGTGGCCGGACATGTGGAAACGGATCGCAAGCCACTGGTCGCCTTCTTTGGCAAACCACTAAAAGCCGGCAGGACTCAAACCTCTAACATCTGGGGCCAAGAGGGCAGCATTAAAGAACAGATGCATCCAAGACCTTATGGAGTCCAGCCAGACCAGGGGACACACTGAGACATAAGGGATGCAATAATAATCCCAGAAAGTGACACTGGCTGTGGATTCTGGCATTTCCCAACCGGCTGAGCAAGTCCTGGTCTTCACAATATCCTCTGGCAAGGAGTTCCACAAGTTGACTATGCGCTGTGTGAAGAAGAACTTTTGCTTATTAGTTTTAAACCTGCTCCCTATTCATTTCATGTGGTGACCTCTAACGAAAGGCTGATACGTAGAAGCTCAGGGAGAGAGGGTCCCTCATGAGGGCCAGGATTATGAATTTAGGATCTGGGAGGCCGTGTGCCGCAGCTCACCACAGACTCACTCACCTTTTCTATTCCTTTGTCATTCCCCCAGCTCATCCCCAGCCTCCCTGTTCGGTTTGGTTTGGTTCCCTTCCCGCTCCCCACCACCGGCTTAGGGGGCTGCGAGAGGGGCAGGCGTTCCCGGGGCCCGGCTCACTTACCCATGAGCCCTGCTTGCTGCACGCCCCAGAGGGCGGCTCCGGTGGCGAAGGAGTTCCACAGCGTGCCGATCACCGCGTAGGTCAGGATGGCGCCGAGGTTGTCGAAGAACAGCCGGCTAGGCATGAAGTAGCCCGAGTCCAGGACGATGGGCGGGAGGAGGAAGAGGAAGAACATGCTGGGCTCCAGCTGGTACTCGGCTCTCTTGGCGATGGCCAGGACAATGCCCCCGAGGCCCAGCCCCAGGAGGATGAGGAGGCAGCTCTCAGGGACCACGGACGTCACCTTCCTGGACAGCTGGAACACTGCAGAGCACACAGGGGACAGGGCATCGCGGCGGGGCTGCAGACGGGCGCCAGGCTACCAGCCCCAGGGTCCATGCTCGGGCCCTGCTCTCTGGGAGCTGCCACCCGCCCCCAGACACTGGAAGAGGGGCTGGCGGGCCGGGAGGGGG